GTTTCTGATGGGACTGATGGAGATAACAATGAATGTCCTTTTTCATATGATATGCGTAGATGTGTCCACATTGATGTTTGTCTACTAATGCATGATTAAAAGGTGCTCAAAACAAGCTAGATCCAAGAATTCATTTATATGATTGTGGCTCAAGTGTCGTATCTGTTTAAGTCACCCAGTGACATTAATTATCTCTTTGCAGCAGGTCTTCTCCCCAGGAAATCGCGTGTTGCAGTCTTGTGATCGGTTGCAGTTCTTGTGATTTTTCATTATGTTTCATACAATACTGTAAATCATGAACAATACTGTGGAGCTCTTCCAAAGGAGTGCTGTCTATGCTCGAAGTGCTCCCTAGAAGTAGAGCGTCATAACTACAGAAGAAAACGTTGGATTGTTTGAGAGGGAACTCACCTGTGGCCTGCTGCCACCATTGTTCACTCGTTCTAACGCACAGTTCATCTTGTGAGCAGATGATATGAACTTACAGTGTTGTTTAATACAGTACAGTACATTACTATAAGTGTTTCCTCTTTTGATTTTTTAAAATAACATTTTTTTCTCTATCTTTGTTGTAAGAAGGCTGTATGCAATGCATATAACATACATAATATGTGGTAATTGCCTGTCGTCAGTAAGACTTATATAGTCAACAGTAGGCCATGAGTAGTTACGTTTATTGGGGACACATAAGTCTTATGTGGATTTTTGATTGCATGTGGGGTCAGCACCCCGACCCTCATGTTGTCGGAGGGTCAGCTATAATGTCCACAGCATCCCCTTTTTACACTCCCTCGAACATTTTGTTTGTTTCTTTGAGTTGCCCCGTGGCAAGATCGCTGCTCACCACAACCTCAACCTCCTAGTCTTCGGGGACCCTTGCACCTCAGCCTCCTGAGTAGCTGGGACTACTGGTGTACACCACCGTGCTTGGCTACTTTTAGAGGCTTTTTTTTGGCAAGATGAGTCTGGCTGTGTTGCCTAAGCTTGTGTTGACCTTCATGCTTAAGCAATCCTCCCACATTTGGTCTCTCAAAGTGTGAGAGTTTCAGACATGACCTACTACACCCAAGCCTGAATTTTTCATATGGAGAAGAAGAGTCAATTCAAAGAATATATTTTTCACAGATATAATTTATATTTTAACTTATTATAATTTTTTATTGATATATAATAGATGCGCATATTTTCAGGGAGATGTGCGATACTTGGACATTTGTGTGATCAAATCAGCGTACTTGGCATCTTCTTCTTAAATCTTTATTTTCCAAAGACTATTTTTCCAAGTAACATTATTAAGTCTTTTTTTTTATTCCTGTTGAGAATGCAGATGGGAGCAAAGGGAGTTACAGAGCTGATTATATTTTCACAGTTTCCCCAAACTCTGATGTACTCACCGCAGCGGATGTTTCATACGCCCTGTTGTCTCCTAGTTCGGCAGCAACCTATGGCCTTCAGGGGGAGACTCAGAGGCGTGCAGAATCTCTGGATTCTCGGTGTGCTGGACAAAGTAATAAAAACATTGCTATTCACCAAATGCCTGCCGTGTTCATGTTTCATCATTTCTTCCCCCTGCTCTCCTCCTTTTCTAGGATGATGTGAGAACTCATTTGGCGTTTTAATATTTCCAGCAGTCTGTAAAATAGTGTGGACTACATTCTTTGCATACCGTCTTACAAAATGCATCTTCATTTTATGTGGTGTCAATTTGCAACAAGATTACAGAGAAACATGATGAGGCTTATTAGCTTATTAGCACTGTATTTAAAAAAAGGAGACCAAGGGAAAATACCTTGGCATAGGGATGTCAAATGATTTCTAAAATGCATATAAAAAGTAAAATAGAGAAACACATTTTTCCTGTTCTAGGTTTTGGAAGATGAAAAATGTAAATGAGTGAAGACATCTTGATAAGAAACTAGGAAGAGAAGAGGAATTTCGTTGGGCCCTAAACAAAGTGTTTTTTTTTGTTTATTCAGAATTATGTGATTATTAGTATACTAAGATACTTTGCAGGGACGTTTTTTATCCATAGAATATTCTTGGACCCATACACAATTCAGTTTTCTAGTACATGAATATCATAAATCTGGGAAAGGATTAGTGCAGGCCTGTACAGTGTTATGCTTTAAGGGTAAGTGGTAGTTATGTGGGAAGGGTGAAGATTTGATGAGACAATTCCAGCAGGAAAAAATATTTATGTTCATGAGTATGTCAGTATTTCTCACTTACGATTAAATGCTGTCTTCCTCCCACATTATATATTATTGCATGGAATTGACAAACAGATCAAATGAAAATAAGATGATTAGACAAATTTTATGTAATATATACACTTGTATATCACAGAGTATTATCAGACAGCCATTTGGCACTTTTAAGAGAAGTGTTACATTTACTATATGAGTTAACTTAATTTTTAAGTGACTTTGGAGTCGGGGTCTCATTCTGTTGCCCAGGTGGAGCGCAGTGGCACAATCATGGCTCACTGCTGCTTCCAACTCCTGGGATCAAGGGATCCTTCTGCATCAATCTACCGAGTAGCTGGGACTATATGCATGCAGTATGACACCTGGCTAATTTTTGAATTTTTTTTTTTGTAGAGACAAGGTCTTCCTACGTTGACCAGTTGGTCTTGACGTCCCGGTCTCATTCCTCCCACCTTGGCCTACCGAAGTGTTGAAATTAGAGGCATGAGCCACCAGGCCCCGTCTCATTTTAAATTTAAACAGAAAAAGAAACTGTGTAGTAGGTGAAGAAAGAACTAACTCCTTGTGAGAATCTCTTCAGCCCTTGTATCTTAAGGGACTTTCGTTTAGGGCTCGGGTTCTGGGCTGCCAGTTCCCCATTCTTGGTGCTCACTCCGTAGTGGTGCTGCCATGCTGCTTTGAATTTACGTGGTCACAGAGTGATGGTGTCTGGGGCTCCTCTGACCAGGAGGGCATCCAAGCAGAAGGAAAATGCTCTTTGGGCCGCGACAGGACTCCATCACTAGGGGAACGTGAGGTAGAGTAGGGCCCTCTCCCAGCCAGGGTTGGGAATGTCGGAGACCAGGCTCTTGGTCATCATCCGAGGATGGCAGGCCGGCCCTTGGCTCTAAGCCTGGACCTGGCGGGTCTGGTGTGGCTCTGCCCACACCCTCCCTCTTGTGGCCCGCCCTGGTCAAAAATCGTCCTTTCCCCTACTTTTTTTGGTTTAATTATCTCTGGACATTGAGGAATTAAAAAGCTATCTTTCATCTCTGAAAATATTTTTCAAACTCTTGTATTAACTTGTGAACAACTTCAGGGATAAGAGCTTCAACTGTCTTGTGTGCCTCGAGTTTTTGTAATAAAGCAAGTGTGGTGCAATAAATGTGTTGTGATCCAATGAGTAGCAGCGTCTATTCATTTCCAAGATTTTTTGTTGTTGTTGTTGTTAAGATCCTTTACTCGTATATATAGGAGATATTAACCTGTGATTTAAGGGCTTAGTGGTATTGAAAGTTCTTGGCTAACTTTCCTCTCTGATATTCCATTTGTGAACTTCAGTCTCCACAGTAAGTCTTCTATGGTGTAATGTAGGGAACGCGATTGTGGAGCAAGCTAACAGTTAGAGCCAGATCACTTCATTGCAAACACAGGCGAAGGCTTTTGCCCTTTTTTCTAAACACTATACCACGGGGGAGTCCCGAGCATTGCCAAGATAATAAAACACACACAATAATGACATAGTGATAATAATAAAGAGGACACTATTATGGAAACAGGGTCTTTCTATTTGTCTTCAGTTCACAGGTGACATATTTTGAGTTATGTTCAGCCTCGTTCCATCCTTTACATTTTCCCGTCGGGCAAAATTTCATCTGGCTTCTTGACAGTCGCGTAAGCCAGCATGGCAAGGGCTGGGACACCTTGGAGTTCAGGTCAGTCCTCCGCAGTGTGGACGCCCAATGCCAGGACGGTGGCCGGTTAGGGTGTTCACAGGGGGTCCCAACTCCAGGCCTAGATGTACTGTCCTCTGCCACTGGCATGCGGGGTTCTTTTTCTCCATGGTGTATCCTGTATTTTCTGGGCGCGCTTTGAAATGTTGTGAGGTGCCTTCCTTGTGGAGTAAAGAAGTGTGTACACTGCAGATAGGTCCCTCTAGGGAACAAATAGGGTGACTGATGAGGGATCATCTTTTATCTCCATGTAATTCCAGGACATTGCCTGACCCATTCCAGGTGCTCTGTCAATGCCCATTCTCATGAATTCTTGAACTTAGAGTCTATAATCCTGAATCATCTTTCACAGAAACTAAGAGCTGAGTATCACATGCTCTCACTCATAAGAGGACCTTGAACAATTATCATAATACTATAAGAAAATGGTGAGCAGTAGTGGGAAACTGTCAGGAGTGGGGCGGTGAAGGGGATTGGCAGGAGCGGGAATCTGCCTGGGGAAGGGGGAACACGCCTCATCCGCAAGGGGACCTGCATCATGAGCATTTGTAGACCTAGCCCTGAATTGTACCCCACGTCTTTAGAATAAAAAAAGTAGAATTAAAAATTCTTGAACTCACATGTTAATTCCATGACGGTCAATGTACTTTTACTGAGTCATCTAGTATTTGAGGTAAAGAACGTCAAAATATTTGCAAGGCAATTGCTGGGTGAGTGAATTCCCTGAGAACCAGAAGATCCTTTTACCCAGAGAAACTTGTATCACCATGGGAGATGGTATGGTAGCAGGAGACATGCAGAAGAAGTCACGTTGAAATGAGGGAACTGTTCCGTGATGTCTGGCACGGTTGGGGACGGTCCCAACAGGATGGTGGTCATCTGGCATGGGATGTGTGTTAGTCTTTGAGGGATGGGAAGGAAACTTCATTCTGTCTCTCCTATTAGGTATTTGAGAGACAAATAGGTTTGGTGTCTGGCGTTGAAATCACAAATGCTTGGGAAGGCCTGCTTCCTTTATTCCTAGGGCTTCATGTATTCCTGGTTCCCATGCTCACTGAGCTTTCATGCCTTTTCCTTTCAGACTTGCCTGAGGTTCCGTGTAACGAGGAGGAAGTGGAAGAAACAGAGTCTTGGGCGAAGCCTCTCGTCCATCTTTGGCAGACAAAGCCCCCTAACTTTGCAGCCGAGCAAGAGTACAACGCGGCGGCGGCCAGAATGGAGCCACATTGTGCCGTCTGCACCCTGCTCATGCCATACTACAAGGTAATGTGGGCTGTCACCGACGACCCCGTCACGGCTGCGCTTTCCGAGTGGCGTCCATCGTGAGGCCGCCTGCGACTCGTTGGTGGCTGCATCCGTGCCCTCCTGGCAAGACGGCTGTCCTCGTGTGGCCTTCACAGGCGAATACGTATGAAAGTGCTTCTTGGGAGCCTATTTTCTGGTGACCCATTTTCAAAAACGTTTTATTTGAATTTATTTTATTTTAGCATAGGGGCAATTGAGACCTCTCTATTCCTTTTACCGAAAAATACAGGATGCTTACAACCAGTGGACGCTTGAAAAGAGAACTTAGACTTAGTTTCCGTTTTTTGTTTGGAAATGTCACTCTCCAACAATAGAAATGCCAGGGCTGGGCCCCGGTTTTCAATGTCTGTCTTCACCTTCCCATGAGGGACTTGCCAACGATACAGCCAAGAATCAATGCAAGCTACATTTTCCAGCTCACTTTCAACAGCCAGCTGTGTCTGGTGTTTTCCACGTTATTCCACATACATTCTGCTGATTGCATCTCGGCTTTTGCATGCTCCCATTCTTCAGGACGAAACTGATGAAATGATCTTTAGGGCTCTAGAATGGGTGGAACTGCATGTTCCATTTTGAGGCACGATGTATGACAAAGTGTCTTGATCATTGAAAATTGTGTTTTGGTACTTATTTCCATTAATAGGAAATAAATAATTTTTTTTCAAGATGACATCTGTCCTGGAGGTCCATGTAAAAGTACACTCCATTCTGTTAAGACATTTCAGAGCAAGCATATGTATGATATCTCACATTCTCACATTTTCAGACCTTTCTAAATAGAGGAAATAGTTTACTCACTGTTTTTGAATGTGGCATTGGTGAATGACGGATTCTATTTTTGTTTTTTGCTAGTCATTACATTTCTGTGTTTTAACTTTTTATTAATTCTTGTTTCTACATCATAATCTGCCTATATAGCTCCCAATCATTAGAGAAAGTTCAAATAAAATTATAAGATTGGTGAAAACAATCAATGTAAGATCTATGCCTTTTTTCTCTTTTTTTTCTGTCACCCAGGCTGGAGTGCAGTGGCATACTTACAGCCACCGCATCCTTGACCTGCTGGATCAGCCTTCCAAGTAGCTGGAATCACAGGTGTGTGCTAGCACACTCGACTTTTTACTTTTTTTTAATTGTAGAGACAACTCTTGCCAGGTTGCCCAAGCTGGTCTTCCACCTCTGACGTCAGGCTTCCGCTTCCCAAAGTGCTGGGATTGCAGGCATGAGTCACCAGGCCCAGCTTATATGACAAATACTAAACAAATGTTGCATGGCAATTTTTTTTCTTGCATTATCCTTTCTTATTGAATGGTGTACCAGACCTGTCTCTTCTGCTGTTTTCAAACTTTGTGGTAAGGCAAATGCTATTTTTTTTTCTTTTTCTTTTTAAGTCAGAGTCTCACTCTGTTTCCCAGGTTGGAATGCAGATGCACAATCACGGCTACTGCAGTCTCTATCTGCTGAGCTCAGGCAATCTCTCCGCCTCAGCCTTCCAAACAGCTGGGACGACAGGCGTGTGCGCCACGTCCGGGTAATTTTTTGATTTATTGTGCAGACAAGCTCTCGCCATGCTGCCTAGGCTGGTTTTGGACTCCTCTGGCCATATCATCCCCAAGTGCGGGCATTGCAGGTGTGGTCACCACCCTCGGCTGCAAATGCCTTTAAATCTTCTCTTCATACTGCTGGGCAGATTAAAACCGGTGTCTCTGAACATTCTTTCAGGTGTAAGCAGGTAAGAGTCTGAAGACATTAAAGCGTGTTGTTCACCTAGCGCAAGTAAAGAAACAAAAAAGCTCATTAGAAGAATTGATGCTTTCCATAAACTCTTTTGGAAAAGCAGTTTCAGTAGCTCATCACTCTCCTATGTGGGCAGAATTAACTTCTGCAGAAACATCTGAGGAGGAACACTGGTAAAAAGCTAATAGTGGGTCAGGGAGAGACGTGGGAAGAGCCAATGTTTTGAGTTCGTGCCTGGAACACGTGTTGGTGAACTTGCCTGACCGGAGTGAAGGATGAGCTCGTTTTCATGTTTGTCACTCACGTGAAAATGTTGTGTTTTTCAGCCAGATAGCAGCAATGAAGAAAATGATGCTAGATGGGAGACAAAATTAGATGAAGTGGTTACATCGGGAGGAAGGACTAAGCCCCTCATTCCAGAGATGTGTTTTATTTATAGTGAAGAAAGCATAGAATATTCTCCACCCAATGCCTTCCTCGAAGAGGATGGAACAAGTCTTCTGATTTCCTGTGCAAAGTGCTGCGTACGGGTTCATGCAAGTAAATGGATCTAGAATTCATCCATCGCTGGCTTTCCGTGTCTCATGTCGTCCTTGGGTCTCATGTCGTCCTTGGGTCTTATGTCACATACATTGCATGAACCATTAGCATTCATTCTCCCTCGCTTTTCTTCTGCTAAAGTATGACTAGGTATAACCATTGTTTTTTTCTTCCAGTTCCAGGTGGTATCAGTGTAGAGCAGGTCTGGGTTTGTTTGGTAGGTAGGGCTGCAGATGAGGGGTCATCATGGGCTTCCCTTCACATACTTGAGTTGTAAAAACTTAGTTTGAATGTTTGATATTGATTGGTGACCATTTAAAGAGAAATGAATATTTGTTTGGCAGTCCTGTTGCTGCACTGAGTTAAACTCATATTCCTTGTCAGGGTAGGGAAGTCTGTATTGTCTTCCAAGGGGAACAGTCATTAGCATTGTTTTCCACGTGGACTGGGCGGGTGTGTATCTGTACCTGTCCAGTTGCTTGATTTTAATAGTAAAATAGTAGTAAATGCATTTTTATTGCTCTGCCATGTAAATTCTATAAAACGTGTAAAAGCGTATATACTATGACCCTGTTTTATAGCATTTTAATATTTGAGATCTTAACAAATTCCATATTCTGTTAAAATACTTAGGTATTGTCTGTCTCTGTCAGTGTAGCTTCAATGGTTTGAAATACACGCTTTATCTTTTGTATTTGCCCCAAAGTCATAATATTCTTATATGAGGGTGGAAATAGCCTATCTATTATTAATTAACCGAGTAGATACTATTTCCTTCCCCAACTGATTTGAATATCACTTGCTTGAAATACAATACTAGTTATCTCCCTGTTGTATTGATATCAATTTGTAGGTAAACACATGTGTTACATCCATACACATATGTATTTACCTTACATTATTATATGTATACAGGAGTGCAAGCACCAGGACACCAAAAAGTAGGGATTTAATCTTGGTTCCTAAATGCAACAGCTACACATTTTAACCATAACATTTTATATACATGTGCTTAAACTCAGAATTTTGTGAACATGGTTGTCTATGGTAGAGTTTTCTTTAGGAAATTACATTTCTGTTATTTTCTGTTTCTATCTCAAGTGTTAGAGAGATTTTAAAAATTACTTATTAAATCTTAAAAACTTATCTTTAAAAGGAGGTTTTAATGCCTTTTTTAGGGGATGTTATACCTTACTCGTTTAAGTATTTAAAACTCTTATTTCAGTAAGTCAGAGCGTCATGTGTTTCTTGGTTCCACATAATTGTCACATATATTGGCACTATAAGCCATCTCTTTAGATGGTTATTTTGGGTCCGTCAGGTACCAAGTAGACGAATTAAAGATTTCCCTTCCTTGCTAACCATGAATTGTGCAGCCTTTTTTCTCTCACTGAGACTAACGGTAATTAGTCTAAATTTGGCAAGTAATTTTTAATTACATTAATTTTAAAAATACTATGTCAAAATGTGTTTATTGTGTTAACATTTCTTAAAACTTCGCCCCATGGATTGCAACTTTTGTAATGCTTTTGCATGAGTGAAGGCCTAGACCTGACAGTTTAGAAATTTCATTTTATTTCCTGTGCAAGAATTATCATCAGTATTCTCTGTGATTATTATTGTGAACATTGGTTACCAATAAGACTCACACTTTCCTGTTTCCCGGAACTGATAGGATATTAGTTATAAAGCAAGAGAAGCAACAGTATTGAGACAGGCTTGCTGTCTTTTGTTCTAAGCAGTGGACTCATAAAAGCATGGTAGGAAATGTCCTGATGTTGTTTATTTCAGTGCTGTGATGTGAAATATCAGATGAAAAGAACTAATGCTTAGATCCGTACTGTTATTTTGTAGGTTGTTACGGTATCCCTTCTCATGAAATCTGTGATGGATGGCTGTGCGCCCGGTGCAAAAGAAATGCGTGGACGGCAGTAAGTGGACTATTTTAATATTGCTTAATCTCTTCTTGTATCCCCTCCACTGTGCATACATTTAGATCTAGTCAAAAGTCAGGATTGCACATGTACTTTGGTGTGCGATTTTATACTTCCTTGTGTTTCTAGTCTTGTTTTTCCATAGCAACAGACATGCTGACTCTGTGTCCACTGAAGAGCTACAAGGTAAATTTTTAGGTGTCATTCCTCTACTTAGGAGACTGTAGGAACTGCCGCTTCATCCGGTCCATATTTGCAGTTTTCAAGCCTTCTGAATATTGCTTCACTTTCCTCGTCAGTCCTCCTTTGCAATTCATGAAAATGCTTTTCTAAGTCACAGTCAAGGTGTGTGTCCTCAGGGACCCTTGGAGACGCCATGCCAGTATCTGACTTGGCAACTTGTGTGAGGTCTTTCTCCCACTTCTTTATAGATGTCAGCATCTGCTCCGGTGCCAGGCGTTGTTGTGAACTTGAGGCAGAATATTTAACAGCAAATGATCTCCCATTGGACGATGCAGACTTCTCTCTGTTGACATGTTTTTTCTTTCTTTTTTTTGAGTCAGAGTCTCACCCTGTCGCTCAGACTGGAGTGCCAAGGCACGCTCATGGCCACCGCAACCTTGGTCTGGTGGACCCAGGTGACCCTTCTGCCTCAGCCTTCCAAGTGGCTGGAAACACTTGCACACGCCACCACCTCTGACTAATTTTTTTTTTTCTTGTAGAGACAAAGTCTTGCCAAGTTGCCCAGGGTAGTCTCAAATCCCTGGCTTGGGCAATCCTCTCGCCTTTGCCTCCCAAAATGCTGGGATTAGCCACTGGGCCTGGCTAAACTGTTTTTTTTCCTAAGGACCCTGTTGAAAATTCCACTTACTTCCAGTCTTTGGTTTCCATTCCATGTATCCACTGTGTCACATGTTTTGCCACATAATTAGCTTCTACATCTATTTTTCTTCAACGTTGTCTTTCAAGAGAAATCAGAAGATTCTTGAAAGTGAAGACCTGCCAGATCTCAACACTGCATCCCTCTCTCATGATCTCACAGAAGGTGCTCAGGCTGACCATCTCAGTGGGAATAGTAGCATTTGCTTTACTCCTCAATGATCATGAGTGACAAATAATGAAATTTCCTTGCAACTAAAGTCAAAAGCCTGAAGGACAACATAAGGAATTTGCCTCGCATGATGAAAATTTATGTCGTGACTATGTCTGTTTAGCTCTCAGTGTTGGAACAGACATCTAGTGGCTATCAGTTACAGGACCTTGAAAAGGATGTCACAGTGTTCTTATTGCTGGCCTTCACTTTGCATGGTAAGGGATGACGGTTGGAAAATATGGACACTGATTGTAGTCAAAATAATCTGGTATATTTCGTTCTTTCCCATTTAAGAAGTCTCTACATGCCGGGCTCAGTGACTCAGCCTGTAATCCCGCACCTTTGGGAGGCTTAGGTGAGTGGATTGCCTGAGCCCACGGGTTCATGACCCGCCTGGGCAGGCGAGACCTCATCTCTACAATAAATCAAAAAATTAGCCGGGCGTGGTAGCGCGCCTGTAGTTCCAGTTACTTGGAAGGCTGAGGCAGAAGGATCGCCAGAGCCCAGCAGGTCGAGGCTGCGGTGGCCAGGAGCGGCCACTGCACTCCAGTCTGGGCGACAGTGAGACTCCAACTTAAAAAAAAAAAAAGAAGTCTCTACATTAGAGGGCCTAGAAAATGTTTTGGCACAGTCATGTGTCACTTAACAATACAGATGCTGGCTGGGCGAGCTGGCCTATAATCCTAGCACGTTGGGAGGCCAAGTAGAGGATTGTCTGATCCCATGAGTTCGAGATCCACCTGAGCAACTTGGCGAGACCTCCTCTCTACAATAAATAAAAAAATTAGCCGGTCATGGCAGCACATATCTGTAGTTACTGCTACTTGGAAGGCTAAGGCGGAAGGATCACCTGAGCCAAGCAGGTTGAGGCTACAGTGGCCATGAGCGTGCTACTGTCCTCCAGTCTGGGCAACAGAGTGAGACTCTGACTCCAAAACAAAAACAATAGGAATGCATTTTGAGCAATGCATCATTAACTGATACAGTCATTGTGCAAGCATCAATGTGTACTTCCCCCAAAACTTGGGTGGGGTATTTCACTGCATACCTGGGCTCTATACCGTAGCCCATTGCTCCTGCTGTACTGAAACCACAGGCGGTTCTAACACAATGACCAGCATTTGCATTGTTTAAACATTAGGAAGGGTCCTATAAAAGCGTGACATGATAACATTATGGGACCACAGTTGTCTATATAGCCCACTGTTGACTGGAGTGCCATTGTTGTACCTGACTATATTTTCTTTCGTGAGATTATAGTGTCAACAAAAGCGATGTAAATGTAGACCATTTTTAACACAGCCTGGATAGCCTACCTATAACAAGCACTGGATACATATGTTAAGCTCTTATTAATAGATCTAGCTTTTATTTACCATATGGATCCTATCCTATTGTGTGAACCAAAGTAAAGTCCTGTAGAGTCATGTTGACTGGTGATGCCTTCTCATTCACTGTGACGTATCACGTTAGAAATGAGCCCTGATATAATCCAGTCTACCAAGGCATTAAGCAGTCTCTGTTCTGTCCACAGTTCCTGCCAGGCTCCTGTGCTCACACACTGAGCCCTCCTGTTGTCCCAGGTACATTGTCCTTTGCATGGCAGAGCCAGGGCCAGGCCAAGGCCACTCACCCTGATTCTAAAGCTGGTTCTGAATGATAATGCTGTTTCCTATAGCATGTTTTAAAAAGAAAATACTGTGATTAATCATTCTTTAGAATAGACTGGAAGCATCTTTCTATTAATCTTAACCTCTGCGCCCTCAAAAAATACAATATGCCATTCATATTTTGAAATTGAAACCATGTAAATCTCTTTCAGTTTGCCAAAGAACTGGAAAATCTTCCACTATTACTTTACAGTGATTTTTTTAAGACTCACTCAGTTTCTTATTTTTAATTGGAAATGATCCACATGCATTGTGCATTCCTCTTTATCCATGTTAAGTGTGCCTTTTCTGTGAAGCTCTATGCCTGTTTCTCCTGAAAAGTAATGGAATGCAGTTTAATCATCGCAAAGAAGTCACTGACGGTATTGATATTCTGACTTTAACACCCTGGTTTAATGTGGCAGTGAGTGTTGCAATATTAATTTTTACTAAACACTTACATGTGAGTTCTTTGAATTTTGTGGATGTAGTGATTGCATTTCAGAAGTACCTCCTTAGATACGACTCCTTCAGCAATCAACCTCACGTTGTCCGTTATCGATTGCAGAGGAGGCCTAGCCTCTGTTTCAGTAGAGGTTCTGAAAGAGCTCGTGGATATCTAAGCCTGCTGTTGAGGTCAGATGGTATTTCGGTGCCAGCTTCTTCTTCACTGAGTCTCCTTCCCAACCGTTTCCTATAATTTTTTTTTGGCATGCCTTGTTCAGGTAAGAGTCATTTAGCAGAAATGCAGAATACTCCTGCAGCATATTTGGGTTGGGTTTTAGGATCATATGACCAATGTAATTGCTGTTTCCTTTTAATGTAAGTGCTTTTGCACACCTTGGGTGCATTTTTCATATGGTGTTTGAGAATCGTATGTGCTGGTTCTGTTTTTTAAAGATTACTTTTAAAACACAGAGACCATATTATTATAGTACTGAATCCTAGGGTTATGAACCAATACTGTTTTGGAAACAAAGGCATCTCAGTTATTATTCTATTTCATCTTAGAAAAATAAATAAATAATATGTTCGCATGTAGCTAGTTTTCATAACTTCAGCCAGGTTCAGGTAGTGGAGGGCATTGTGTGCAACGCTGGAATAGTATTCATAGATAATCTGTCTTTTTATTTACCCGTTTTAACAAGTGTATGTCATTGTGGCCTCAGTTTCCCTAGTTTTTACATAGCTGGAGCCCCGAGCCCTGTCTCTGGATCTCTGTAGTACCCTCAAAACTGGTGTGATAGTGTATAATTTCTGTAGCATAAAGTAGGAAGTCTGCGATTATAGTGATCGGGGCTAGGTATTTATTTCTGGTCTTCTGTGTCGTCACCGTTTCCAAAATCCAGACCTCACTCTTCTTCTTTTACTGATTCGAAGTCTCACTCTGTTGCCCAGGCTGGAGTGCAGTGACACACCCACGGCCACCACAGCCTCTCGACCTGCTGTGCTCAAGTGATCCTTTCACCTCAGCCTTCCAAGTAGCTGGAACCAAAGGTGTATGTCAGCGTACCCAGCTAATTTAAAAAAAAAATAATTGTGGAGATGAGGTCTTGCTTTGTTGCCCAGTCTGGTCTTGAAACCTTGGACTCAGGTAATCCTCTCACTTTAGCCTCCCAAAGTGCTGAGATTGCAGGTGTGAGCCACCAGGTCCAGCAAGTTCAGACCTCACTCTTATCCACCTTGCTCCCATTAAAATAAAAAATATTCATTCATTTCAATGAAAATAAGAAACAAAAAGCTGTATTGCGACTTCAACTTTCTATTTTGAGGAGAGATTAGTTGCAATTTTGGATTACATCTTAATTTGGATTGTGTGGTTGTGACTCTGTATCTAACTTCAAATGAAATAAAATGGACAAAGAACCCCACCAAGAAGGTCTATTCTTGGATGTATAGTCAGAGTTCTAATTAGGTATCAACACTTTGAGTCCCTGCTTTGTCCTGTTTCATTACTGTTCAGCTAAATAGACACAAGTCTCTGCAAGCTATGTTGGATTTGTAGTTCATAACTGCCTTTATTTGATTATTTGATTTTCAGCTCTTTGAAACTCTTTTCTGTCTGTTTTTATATTTCTTTTTGGAACAATTTTTCCTCCTTTATTATAGTATTATTTTAGAGCACATTCCAAATGTTACCAAGTCCTGTTTTCAGGTGTAGAATGAATCTTTCTCTTGTTAGTTTGACTCTTCATATGCACCTCATCACTTTTGACCTACATTTTTATAGTCTATAGTATGTGTTTTATCGGTGT